AAACCAGGTTAAGATGGATGCTGTCTTAACTATACCAGGTTTAATTTTGTTGTGTGGATTATATCCTGTTTGCCTTGCAGAATGTACCTAAGCCTGGACACAAGAGAACAGACTCCACCCACAGCAGCAATGAGTCTGAATACACCTTTAGCACCGAAATTGCAGAAACTGAAGACATTCCATTGAGGACAGAGGTACACTTTGTTTTGTTTTATTTTATTTTATTTATTCATTTGTTTATATTAATTTTAGAGAGAGGAAAGGAGAAAGAGAGAGAGAAAGTTGTAGAATTTCCACTCAGCCAGCCTTCCTGTGGTTCTGGATGATGTCCATTTTGTCTTTTAGCTGTAGTTTTGAAGTGGTTGTGCAAGGCAGCAATTTCAGGTGTTTACCTATGCCGCCATCTTGGTTTCTCCTCTATTTCATTCTTTTTAACAGCTATAAAGTATGTCATAATTTGGCTCTACCATAATTTTTTAAAAATACTCCCATTAACTAACATTTGGGTTCTTTGCAGTTTTTTGCAATTACAAAAATAATGCTGCAATGAACATCTTTTTCCGTATATTTTTGTGTACTTGTGTAAGTAGTATATCTGTGGGATTAATTCTTAAACATAGATTGTTAGCTTAAAGGTATCACACATTTAAATTTTAATAGATATAACTAACTTGCTCTTTTAAAAGGCCTACTTTTACTTCCACCAACATCATGTAAGACCCTGTTACTAAAACATGGCATTATAAATATTTCCAGTCTTTGCCAATCTAATAGGGGAAAAATAATACCTCACTGTTGTTTAATTTGCCTTTCTCCTATTAGCTAGGTTGACCTATTACATGTATACTCTTTGGTCCTTTATATTTTTTGTAAGTTTGCCTATTTTTTTTCTGTTGGGCTGTGCATCATTTTCTCATTGGGTTATACATCTTCTGGATTGTCTTGACCGTCTTATTTTTTCTGGGGATTAGGAGCCAAGTGAGAAGAAGGTACCACTGGACATGTCACTATTCCTCAAGCTCCAGAAGCGGGTCACAGAACTGGAGCAGGAGAAGCAGGTGATGCAGGATGAGCTGGACCGCAAGGAGGAGCAGGTGCTCCGCAGCAAGGCAAAGGTGCGCAATGCTGTCCACCCCAGGGCCGCGGGCAAACCCAGCACTGAGGCTGGGACTTTATATCCAGTTCTGTGGTTTCTTCTTAATGGAAGCCCAGCCCAGAAGTACTTTAACCAAGTAGGATTTGGTTCAAGTAGTGAGGGCTGACCTCTCCTCACTGTTTTCTGCAGAGCAAGGAAATATTCTAAGAGTAAAAAATGTAACAATTAAAATATAACTACTTGTTTATAAAATTTCTAATTTATCTTTTCCTTAGGAAGAAGAACGGCCACAAATTAGAGGTGCAGAACTGGAATATGAGTCACTCAAGGTAATGGAATATTTCTGCCCAAGACCTGAAATAGAGATCTGCTGAGAGCCTCTCTTTTTCTCAGAGAATATGTTTCAGGGCACCTGAGGCCCTAGCTTAAGTTTTATGCAGGCATTACTTCTAGCCTTGTATTGCTTCCTTTTATAGGTTCTATTCTGTACAAAATGGAGTTCAGTCTAAATAGAAACAGGACCAGGAGCTAAAATTTGAGGCTGTAGAAGGTAGTAACGGACATGGACTCTAGCATCTGCCTGGGTTCAGATGCTAAATCCACCACTATATGGCTATGTGCAAGTCATGTATCCTTCCTGTGCCTCTGTTTTCTATAATATGGGGATATTGATAATATTTATCTTACAGGACTCTTATGAGGATTATATGAACTAATCCATGTAAATTTGTTAGAATAGTGCTCAGTGCTGTTTTTAATAGTATCCAACAAATGTTGGCTATTATCATTATCATCATTTTTAAAATACAGGTATTTTACATACTAGCTCTAATTCTTATAATAGTCCTGCAAGTCAATATTTTAGTTCCCATTTTATAGATAAGAAAATCAAAGCTAAGAGATATACATAACTCCCCTAAGCTCATCCCACTGGAAACTTACAAGAAACAGGATTTGAACATTGGTATCTCTGGCTTCAAACCCCAAACCCCACCGAAACTATGTGTTTGTAGAGAAAGACTGCTAGGCATTAGTTTGTAGAGTAGAAACATACTCTAACTTATTTTTTAAAAAACAACAACAACAGTTGGGAGGAAGGGGATAAAGGTGGAAAATTGTAACTTCTTAATGTGTAAAGGCAATGTCTAACTAGACAGTAATAAGCTGCCACTGTGTGTCCCAGAGCACTTGGACAAGGCGACTGGCACTGGATTGGGAGGAGTAGTTCCTGGCATACAAAGCACCTTGGTAACACAGGAGTTGAAGTTTAGGGGTGGGTGGAGAAGAATCCATTCCTTGATAGAGAGCAGGCTGTCTCCCCCTTTCACCCCCCCCCCCCAGCCCCCCGACACACACACACACCTGCTCCCAGCCCCAGCCTCTCTGGTTTCCAGAATGAGAACTTTTTGAGCCCTGCAGTGTCTGAGCTATCAAGCTGACAGCTCTCAAAACACCCCAGCTTCAGAAGTTTTCTAGATTGTTAATTAATATTTTCGTCTTAAATTTCTTTTTCTCAGATATTTTCTGCCTATGTCAAATTTTTACTATTTTCTGCTTTTTTAAATTATAGTCTAGGGTGGAAACTTATAGTAAGGTTTATGATTAAAACAAAACTAAAAGTGAGAAAAGCCACAAAATAGCATAAGGAAACTCATTATTTTAAAGGCTTTATGTATAATTGAGATTTCCTAGGGTCTCTCTAAACTGTCCTGAATATTTTTTCTTTATCAGTAATATTACTTTAAGTCTAGTCCTGATATATTTTTCCCTAATACTTCGATTTGGAACTTAAATTATGCTCATTAATAGGCCCCTGTCCTCTGTGGATTTTGCACTTCCCACTGTCCAGAACTGCAATTATTGCTTCCTCTCCAGGCTGTGTGGCATCTTGGTGCAGAGAATGCCTGTCCTTTCCTGTGCCCAAACCCACACTCTTATCAGCTCTTTCCCCGGAAGATACAATTTTTTTTTTTAATTATGAAAATAAATTTTATTTTTAATTTTCAAAAGTAAAAAATCCATAACATTTTTAATACACTGTTAATATAATTTAGTTGATACCTAGTTAACCTCATATGGCATTAATGTTTTATTCCTTTTCCTTGAAAAGATAGAATTTTTAAACTAATATTTAAAAAATGCTTGACTAATAATACCTGTATTTTTAGTTTGAAAAGTTTTTCCTACACCTTATCTTATTTAGTCATTGTCACAACTTCTGATATAAGTTTTTTATTTTTAAATATTAGTACTCTGAGGCTAAGTTAGAAGTTAAGAGATATACTCATAGATGATAGAGTCTGATCTTGAATCCAGGTCTCCAGACTAAGGAAACTTCCGTGTGTGTTTTGTGTGTTGTGTGTGTGTGTGTGTGTGTTTAAAAAATATGTATTTTTATTGATTTTGGAGAGGAAAGGAAAGGGGGAGAGAGATAGAAACATCAATGATGAGAGAGAATCATGGATTGGCTGCCTCCTGCACACCCCCCACTGGGAATTGAGCCCACAACCAGTGCATGTACCCTGACCAGGAATCAAACCGTGACCTCCTGGTGACGCTCAACCACTGAGCCATGCTGGCCAGGCTAAGGAAACTTTCTGAACATCTTAGGTTCCTATCATTACTTGTTTGAAAACTAATTTTAAATATATATAGTATTTACTTTTAAAATACCCTTAAAGACCCTTTTACCCTTTCTAATTACAATAGGAATGGATCTCTTGCTCTTGCAGTAAAAGCACTACTTGAGTAGTATTTATATTTGTGGAAGGAGAAATGGGTGGCAGCAGGTGGGCACCTCTGTTATTCCTACTTCCATTGCCTTCTGTCCAGAAGACCAGAACCTGATGGGATGGGACGGGACAGGTCAGAGGAATGGGGTTAGGAATCTGATCTCTAGCTCTGCTCGCTCTGCCTACCTCACACAAAAATGAACAAATGAAGACATCCTCTGTATATGAAGAAGCCTGTATCACAGAGTTCCCAAGTATTAGCTTGAGTGTTTCTCAGAATGTTGTTCCTGGAACAGGAGCATCAACATCAGCCTGTGACTTGGAAATGCTAATTTGTGGGCCTCACCCCAGACCTCTGGAATTGGAAACTCTGTGGGTGGGCCCTGCACCTGTCCTCCCAGCGGTCTTGATGCGCGAGGAAGCTTAGGAAACAGTGCATCAGAGCGTAGACACGGCTGTCAGAGTAAAGACAGCCATGCTCTCTGTTGCAGAAATGAGAAATGCACATCTGAATACCAGTTGTGGGAGACGGGATAGGAAGGAACATTCTTTTTCACATAAGGATGAACTAATTCATGAAAGAAGAGGTTACTTATTCTTAACTAGGAAAAAAAGGCTAAATAGTTTTACTAAAACATGCTGAAAAGTCTGATATGGTGATACAAGCACAAGATTGCCTCTGGAAAAAAGGCAATAAAATATTTTATCTTTATACAGAAGTACTTCATGTCCACTATCACAAGGCCTTATCTCATGTGCTACATAAGTCATCATGGTGCTTTTATTTATTTATTTAAACATTTTTTCAATTACATTTCACATTCAATATTATTTTGTATTAGTTTCAGGTGTAAACATGGTGCTTTTCAATGACCGTCTACTTCACTGTTTCTCAACTGGCATTCTGTGACATGTGCATTCTAGTGCCTGTAAATATAGTTTAATGTGAGAACTCTATTCTGGGCTCCCACTGCCATTGCCTGAGCAGGGCGTGCAGAGGGCAGCACCTTGCAGCATTCGGGTGGCTGATGGTATGTGTGAGTGTAAAGGATGTGTGCGTCCATCCGGATGGTGACGGAGGAGGTGGCCCATCCTTTCTCCCACCTCTCAGAACTCTGCCAGCAACTTCACAAGCATGTCACACAGAAAAGAAGTGTGAAAAAGATATATCTGTGCTTGCTTCGGCAGCACACATACTAAAATTGGAACAATACAGAGACTAGCATGGCCCCTGTGCAAGGATGACATGCAGACTCATGGAACTTTCCATATTTTTTTTAAAAAATTATTTGTTTTCATCAAAATACTAAGAATTTGATTAGTTTAGGTGATGTGGTAATTTTTTTTACTTGAAGTTAAAAGCCTAAGATTTCAGTGGTCTTTTCATTCTGTTTTACGAAGGAAATGAAAAGATGCTCCTCTTCTTTCAGGGAGCCACTCATTTGAACTATTCATTGGAAATAACCTGACTAGCTGGGCCCTCATAGTTACCCTTGCATTTATTTTCCCACAAACAAAACTGGGCTTTCTAGACCTGGGCTAAACTCGCCCCTTGGAACTCAGCATTCGCCAGGCCTGGGAACACACCTGGGGCAGGCCTGGAATAAATTCGACTCTGGAATTTAGGTTGATGAAGCAAACTACCATTCACCTTGCTCAATTCTACTTGATGTCAGACTTCCTGAATTTACAGAGTAGAGTTCCCAGTAGAACCTGGGAAGCCATTCATTAGGGTAGCTCTGACAGTCTTTTCAAGCAGAATTCTTATACCGTCTTCGGGGAAGGTGAATATTCCAATGTAAAGTTGAGGATGACAGCAATGAACTATTCTTTGTCTATTTACACAGCGACAAGAACTAGAATCAGAAAACAAAAAACTGAAAAATGAGCTAAATGAGTTACGCAAAGCCCTTAGTGAGAAAAGCGCCCCAGAGGTGACCGCTCCGGGGGCACCAGCATACCGTGTCCTCATGGAGCAGCTGACCTCTGTGAGTGAGGAGCTCGATGTGCGCAAGGAGGAGGTCCTCATCTTGAGGTCTCAGCTGGTGAGCCAGAAAGAGGCCATCCAACCCAAGGTAAGCACAAGCAAGTGGCTAAGGAGGGTGTTGGGGGACTGGCCTCTGCTTCTGTCTATCTGTTCCGTCCAGTGTGTAATGGAGGAAACACTTAAGAGCATTTTTAGTTTAAATGAGGATATTATAATTTTTTTAAATCGCAGTGTTATTTTAAAACTACTGCAAATGTCAATTGGAGTGAGCAAAAAGCACGTGAAATCCCAAATGGTATTCAGTCTCATCTCTCACTCATGAGCCAAGTGCTTTTAAAGTTATTTTTTATAGTAATTTGGCCACAATAAATTTTGATCAAAAATAAAATGCTATTAAGTACACAGATTCATAAATTGTCTTGCTGTGGGAAGGCATGAACGACTTTAAAATTATTTGTTGAAGGTAGCCTGTTTCACTGGGAAGGTAACATGGAGAAATTGGAAAGGAGATCAGTGGTAGAAGTTGCGTGGAGATTTCTGCTCACTTCAGGGAGTTCTGTTTACTGGGGGAGCTGTCCCAGTGGGAGGGCTGTGGTTAGTGAGGCAGCAGAAAGGACCATGCGGGAAGATATAGATGGCCCTCTGAAGTCCTTTCCTGCCCTTGGGTATTTTGAGACCATGTGCTGATCAGAAATGGGTCCTTTTGTCATGTGCCATCAGATAAAAATTATCTGATTAATCACCTTAAAGCCTGACCTATGTCCCTGCCCGTGTTCATGCAGCAAAGTGTTACCAAGGCTTGAGGCAATCAACTATCCCAACAGCGTGACATGCCAAATGAAATATGACTGTGACATATGATGAGCTGGGTGCTTGAAAGATGTGAGAGTGCTTCTCTTAGAAATGGTAGTTGTGCAGGTGGCTGAGATACCGAACCTAGGTTTGGATTTGATAATGGCAACTCTCACCAAGGATTAACATTGGTCCAGAAAATATAAAATTCTGGAAAATCCCAGTAACAAATGGAGTTAAATGAAGAAATGACCTTCCTTATTTCAAAACAAATCACAAACCCCTTAAGTCTGAAATGCGAACTTGGAGATTGGGAGTCTCTGCTTGGGCGTGGCCCTGTATGTACATCTTGCCTTCCCTGGGCTGACGACCCCTGAAGAAACAAGTACTCCCCTCTGCCTGCTAGCTGGAGCAGAGTCCACAATCAGGATTCCTTCCTCTGGTTCCCTTGTGACAAATCGGTATTCTCATAGGAAACTTCAGGTAAAGTTATGGGAAAGGAAAAGAAAAATGAACCAAGGTGCATGAAAACAATCTAGCTAACAGAGCACAGAGTTCTCATTTACCCAGCTCACATACCCCACGTGACAACTGCTTGTCGGCCTCTAATGGGCTGGCCCTGTCTAATCGAGGTTTCTGCTCTCTGAGTTTCCAGCTTGCACATGGTAGCAGCTTGTCCTCTCCTGGGAAAAATGCCCATGATGCTGATTGAGACCTTTCAAATACCCCCGGGCTGTGCACTCCACTCAGTTTCTAGTCATAAACACATATGTCACAACTTCTTTGCAGGACAGTGGTGACACCCAGGGAGCAAGGTGAAGATCCAGCCCAGCCAGGTCTAGTGTGTTTGCTCCACCCCCACGAGTATTCTAGGTTTCACTGTAACTCTCACAGACACTGGGAGAGAATTACCCATGTACTCTAACAGGAGGGTTGTTCTTTCACGTACTAAAAATACTATATAATACAAAAATACAAAAAGAATTTTAAGCACTTGTTCCTGAGAATTAAGACTTGCCGTCACATAAATACATATTAATGTCCACCTCATGTCAGTTTCATGAATATGTATTTATCTGTTAAATTAGTTTTAGGGAAACAATTCATGGTTGTTTTTTACAGTTAGCTCTTATTTGTTACGATGGAGACTCAATGATAGAATTTATTTATGGAAGTAAGGGTTTATTGTTTTCTCCATTTGTTTTTTGTGCTTGCCAACTTGGGATTTTCAGGATGACAAGGTAATTATAAAATTTTTAGTATATACTAGTAAATCCTAATTTTAGTTTACAAATATCCCCTAATGTATGCAATTGATGCTTTTTGGCCACTAAGTCTATTTTTATATTTGGGAAGTCAGTGGGAAAATGTGGATAATAGTAGTCTCCTGTCTGGCTCACAGAGAGGCCTCCCTGACTTCTAATTCACAGCCAACTCTGTGCCTCAGTGTGGTAGTTGTAGGCCATCCACGGGGTCAGGGAGGGAACCCTTTACTTGGAGGATCTCCCGGGCTCACATGTCTACCAGCTATGGGTCTGAGGGTGAAAAGGAGCCTGAGTTGCTGAGCATACCTGGGAAGGGTGGGATTTTCCTACATGGTTCAACCCTTTCAGGCCTTCTGGTCACTGGCTCAGGGGAGACACACTGAGCAGTGAGTCAGGAACTTGCTAACCCTGGCAGTTTAAGTCTGATCCCATGCCCCAGCCACCACTTCTTAGCTAAGATAGGCCAGATGAGGGAAGGATTGGCAACACACTAAGAGGCCTGGTTCAGCACAGCAACACACTAAGAGGCCCAGCTTTCTTCTACATTAGTTAATTAGATCAACTTACCTAATTTACGAAAAGTTCAAAACCACATTCTATAATAGGTCCTCAGATATCAGAGAATACATGTAGCATTATAGAGCCTGGGCCTTTGAGAGTTATTACTTAAAACTTAAAAATCTGAGTATGGCCCTTTATGGAATAGAAAGATTTTCTCCTTTCAGAGAAAGTTTTCTTGGAAAAGGAAATTTTCTATGATATGTGTGCTAAAATATTTATAAAAATAGCTAAAGAAATGCTGTATGTGGTGTTTCTGGAAAAGATTTTTAAAATGTGATAAAATATAAGCTTTTGTTAATAGCTTTTATCAGATTGTTTGGTCTTCTCTAAGGGTGCATTTATAAACTCTTACAAAAGAACAGCATTAGGAGAAAAGTGGGATTTTTTTTTTTAAAAAAAAAGATGCTTCTAATAAACACTGACATTCAAAAGCAAGTATTGGTAGACCTCTAGTTGGCATTCAAGTTATCTAAGATCCTGGTATTTGAAGTGTATTCTATGAGTGCCACTTCATTGTGAGATCTGGCTGGAGCAAACTTGGACGAAAGGATCAGATATGTACTATTTAGACAAATAGGATGGCCCCTTGGATTCTAAAGTGTATTCTTCTTTAGAGACTATAAAACAGTGGTTCTTATTGTGCGTTTTTGCTTTGGTTTAGGAGAGATAGGAGAATAACTGAGTAATTTGCTTTGGTTTAGGAGAGATAAGAGAATAACTGAGTAATTTCAAAAGCAAAATTTTGAAATTACAGTGGTTTTCAGACAGATTAGACCAGTGGTTGGCAAACTCATTAGTCAACAGAGCCAAATATCAACAGTACAACAATTGAAATTTCTTTTGAGAGCCAGATTTTTAAAACTTAAACTATATAGGTAGGTACATCGTTACTAACTTAGTTAGGGTACTCCTAAGGCTTAGAAAGAGCCACACTCAAGGAGCCAACTTAAACTATATCATTAGACCATAAAGGAAAAATAAAAAGGAAGTAAAAAGGTTTAACAGAAAAGTTCTCTTTATATAAAACTAGAGGCCCAACACATGAAATTGTGTGTGGGTACGGTCCCTAGGCCTAGCCTGTGATCAGGGCCATCTTTCCCAGCTGCCCACAACCGGCCCCGCCCCCTCCCACCACCCACCCCATTCCCCCATTCCCCATCCAGCGATGGGAGCCTGACGGCCAGGGGAGGGACCAAGAGGTCGGCAGTTCCCACCTGTTCACCAGCCCCATCCCTGGCGCCAGTTGCCCTCTGTATGTGGGGTGACCCGGTGGGGCGGTGGTCTTGGCCTGGCACTGCCCACATCCCCCACCACCCACCCCGGTTCCCCATTCGCCATTGGTAGTGATTGGAGCCTGCCGGCCAAGGAAAGGGACCAAGAGGTGGTCAGTGCACCTCATAGTGACTGGTCGAGCAGTCGTTCTGGTTGTTCTGCTGTTATGGTCGCTGGGCTTTTATTATATAGGATCATTAGTAATTCTGACCTGCCAGGTATTTATTTCAAAAGCTTATGTACCATGTGATACTGTAAAAGAGGAAAAAGAATTGAATAACAGCAGATGGTAGATATTTATAAGGAGCTAAATTCTTCCCATTTATATATATCTAAAGATGTGAGGAAAAGCTTTTAATTTTGTAAAGCATACATCTGAATGCTACCTCTTTGTACTGA